ACGTATTTGAGTAAATATAGTAACACTGAAGGGACAAATAATGATTTCAGTACTGCCTTACAAAAATGAATATTCTCAAAATTAATCACTAACCTTTTCCTATAAGTCCTTCTCATATGAGCACATACATTTTTCAAAATATAAAACTGTAATCACCTTGAACCTAATACTTATTTCAAAAAACAGTTACAAGGAGTGTTATGTAGCTGCTATAAAAGGAAAAATGCAGTCTAGACAGTCAAATACAATGATCTTTTATTCATTATTCTCATAATCAACAGTGAGTAGAAAAGAGTGCTAAATACATGGTCATGAATCATAACTTCACTACTGAAAATGCAGAAGTAGACTTTGCATTTAAATAAGAACACAAATTTGTTTTTTGGATTACTTACCAAAATCCTTGATGGAAAATGATACAGCTTTGCCAAAATATTTTTAATTTAGAAAGTGAGACCAAAAACCTCTTTAGCATATCATGCATCTATTTAATTTTAAAATACAAATTTTAATGTTTCATTTGACAGCCTGGTGAGGTAGACATTATATTTTTAAGGCAGCCATTTTAATATAGTGAGAGCATGTGTGAATATGTATTGACATTCTAAGCCATTAAGGCCACTTGTTCACAGAATATATTTGAGCTCTAAAATTGTTGAAAGAGAAAATGCTCAAGTAGCTTGCAGAAATAATGGATGTTATACAGAACAGAAAGGAATGAAATTAAACAACAAAAGTTCATAAGATTTCTTGACACCAAAAGCACAGTCCATAGAGGAAAAATTAAAACTGGACCTCATCCAAATTAAAGCCTTTTGCTCTGTGAAATTCCCTGTGAAGAGGTTGGAAAGACAAGCTACGGACTGGGAGAACATATTTTCAAACCACTACCTGACAAATGATTAGTATTAAGAATAAAAAGGCCAGGCGCAGTGGCTCACGCCTGTAATCCTAGCACTTTGGGAGGCCGAGGCGGGTGGATCACGAGGTCAGGAGATCGAGACTATCCTGGCTAACACGGTGAAACCCTGTCGCTACTAAAAAAACAAAAAAAAAAAATTGGCCAGGCGTGGTGGCGGGTGTCTGTAGTACCAGTTACTCGGGAGGCTGAGGCAGGAGAATGGCAAGAACTCGGGAGGTGGAGCTTGCAGTTAGCCGAGATCGCGCCACTGCACTCCAGCCTGGGCAACAGAGCGAGACTCCGTCTCAAAAAAAAAAAAAGAATAAAAAACTCTTAAAACTCACCAGGTTAAAAAAAAATCCAAATAGAAAATGGACAAAAGACATGAACCGACATTTCACTGAAGATACAGAGATGGCAAATAAACACATGGAAAGATGATCAACATCATTAGCCATCAGAAAAGTGCAAATTAAAACTAGGAGGATATATTACTACACACCTATAAAAATGGCTAAAATAAAAAATAGTAACACCACCAAATGCTGTCAAGGATGAGGAGCATTCACACATTCCTGGTGGGAATGTAAAATGGTACAGCCACTCTGGAAAATGGTTTGGCAGTTCCTTAGAAAATTAAACATGCAAGTGCTATACCACCCAATAAGTACACTCTTGGGCATTTCAGAAACAGAAATTTATGTTCATACAAAATCCTGTAGACAATTGTTCATATGAGCTTTATTCAAAACAGGCAATAAATAAATAAATAAATAAATAAGTAAAACAAACAAAAACCCTGGAAACATCAGATGCCCTTCAACAGGTGACTGGTAAACAAACTGCAGTAAATCCATATTATGGAATACCACTCGGCAATGGAAAGGAACAAGCCATTGATAAAGGGTACATTCCTTGAACTAATCTCCAAGGAATTATGCTGAGTGAAGTAAAGCCAGTCTCCAAAGGTTATATACTATGTGATTTCATTTATATAAGCATTTTTGAAATGACAAAATTATGGACATGAAAAACAGATCAGTGGTTGCCAGGAGTCAGGCATGAAGGGAGATGGCTACATCTATAAAAAAACAAAAAGGATCCTTGTGGTGATGCAATTGTTCTGTATCTTGACTGTGGTGGTGCTTATATGAATATACACGTGATAACATTATGTAGAATTAAATACACACATGCAAATGACTGCATTAAAGCTGACGAAATCTAAGTAAGGTTGATGGATTGTATCTATTTCCATTTTGTAGTTGTGATGTTACACTATACTTATGCATGAGACTACTATTGGGGGAAATTAGATAAAGCGTATTATTTCTTACAACTGTATGTGAATCTACAAGTATCTCAAAAGAAAAAGTTAAAAGGGAAAGAAAGAGTATATAAGACCAGCCAATGGTAGAAGTGGAAAAACAAAGCTTTTACTTTTGCTAAAGGCTCAGCAATTGAAAGTGAAAGGATGGAGAAAAAGGTAATGTCAAAGAGTCTACAGGCTACAATAGAATCATATCTTCCTTCCCTATGGAGCCTTAACTTCTCCAGAATTTTGTTTGTCCTTGATTTGACTGTTGTTCTTTTTAATAAAAATAAACTGCATGTACATCTGTCTCTCCACATGCCTCACAACTATCTCCATCAGCCCAAAGTATAAACTCATAGAATAGGGTTTGTCTTCTTAACCATCATGTACTGAGGGCCTGACATAAGTGACAGATGAAGGAAGAAGACAGTTGAATGAATTAATAAATGAATGAGATGCCCACATATTCTTTTAAAGTTCCTAGCCAATTACAGTTGTAAGGCAGTATATGAGCGCAGTGGCGCGATCTCGGGTCACTGCAAGCTCAGCCTCCTGGGTTCACGCCATTCTCCTGCTTCAGCCTCCCAAGTAGCTGGGACTACAGGCACCCACCACCACGCCTGGCTAATTTTTTGTATTTTTAGTAGAGACGGGGTTTCAGTGTTAGCCAGGATGGTCTCGATCTCCTGACCTCGTGATCCACCTGCCTCAGCCTCCTGAAGTGCTGGGATTATAGGCGTGAGCCACCGCACCTAGCCATTCCCTTACAAATTTCTAAAAGCCATGGACGTTTAAAAAATAGTGCTGTATAACACACATTTCACTTGTAAGCAGAAATTTAACGTAATACCCAACATTTGTAAAATGCTTCTGAGTTTACAGATTTTCACATATAATAATTTATTTAATCAGGATGAATTAAGAACTAAGTATACCTAAATTGAAACCACTATACACAAACCTTTGAGAAAAACATTCTACTCAACGGGTATAACAGGATTTATGACAGCCTTAATGCAAATTGCATTATATACGTGTGTGTATACATATATATTTGTCATATATATTCATTTTAATATATCATTCAAATTGGGGGACTTGTGGATCATTTCAACAGCCATAAAGACACTTATTTTACAGACGCAAACACTAAGAGAGGTGAAGTGACTTGTTCAAGGTTATATATCTAACTAGAGCTGGGTCTAGAACCTGAGCCTCTTCAGAGTTCATTTCTCTTGTCTTTGAATTGAACAAGACTCTTGTTTCTTCACCCATCTCACCCCTACCAAAAATACTGAAAGAAATATCTTAATCTAAATCACTTGTTTTTAAATAGGGGGTTTTCCAAAAAAAAAAAAAAACCCACAAAACTGAATTTACTCAAGCTTTCAATTGCTGTATTACACCTTCCATGGATTTTTAGTTGTCAAATTATTTCTTTTATCAGGACAATAAGGTACTTTATTCTAAGGTACAAGTATACTGACAGTTTAATGTTTCATTCCCCCACCTAAATGGCAGAGTGTTAATTCTACCAGGAATCTTACATGTCTTACACTTTAGCAGTTTCAATCAAAAGATGAGCTATTTTACAATTTAAGGAAGAGGCCTTACATTATTAAAATCTTGATTGATATGCTCAATGGCAGAACCATCATTGAATCTTCACCTGCTGTCTTATGTATCAAGAACATTTAAAAGTCTTTCTTGTTAGAGACAAAATAAAAGAAAAACTAAAGTGACAAGCAACTATGAGAAGTAAGGCTTTAATCAGGTTAAATTTGCATTACGCAGCCTGCATGAATTTAGAGGTCCTAGAATCAAAACACTAGAAGGAACCTTAGTTATGCTCTAGTTCAACAGACTGATTTTTGCAGAAGAGGAAACTGAAGCGCTGATGAGACCATTAACTAATAAAGCAAACCGCTTACTTTTTCAAAGGGATTCATTTCAATGCCATCTTACCCTTATTTTGCATCTCACTGTTGTTTCTCAGGGCGACGGTTGACCTTTTTTTTAGGTGAAAAGAGCTAATAGAGCAAATTAATTTCAAGAGGGTGAAAAATGCCTTTGAAGGAGGAGATGCTGGAGTGAAGAGGAGAAATGACGTCTTATTTAAAATATGTAACCCCTTGATGGGGTTAGACAATGAATCATATTCTCCTAGATTTTTCTATGTCTATAGACATCAGCCACAGTTCTTTCGGGCACTCAAACGAGAGGAAGAGGAAGTGAATAAAGCTCATACTAAATATATAGCACCCACTGAAGGCAGGGATGTAGACAGAAAGAACGGGGGTGGGGGAAGGAAGGAAAGCACGCGTCGCCAGGATCCAGCTGTTTTCTAACATACCTAATCCTACGGAAGCTAGGAAGATATCGGAAGCAAGGAAGATATCGGAAGCGAGGGCATCCCTCAAATTCGAGAGGGCGGATGCCTCTAGGGCTAGAGAGACTCCCTGGCCCTCTTTAACAGAGCGACTGGGAGGGGACAAAATGGAGTTGAGGTTTAGGGGCATCCTAAAGGTCGTTTGGAGGTCTAGCAAGCACTTCATGGTCTCCTCTGGAAAGGGCCGTGGCAAAACCTACTACCCCGATCAGGAAGATGACTTCTAGCCCTCGGGATGCGGTGAGCGGCAGGAAGAGGCAGGCTGGGGTTCCGAGGACCCCAGACTCCATCACAGGAGGTTACTGTAACCTAGGGAATCTTCCCGGCCCCAGCGGAGGCGAACGGATAGATAGCCCTAGCTCAAGAAAAAAAGCGAGCCGATTCCAGCAGCTGGAATGCCCACCCAACCTCCTCCCGGCTCAGGTGAGGTACGCCAGTCCCCACCCTGGAGATGGGGCCCTGGTACCGACAGGGCAAGGGTGCCGGGGCCGCAGCCTCCCCAGCCAGGGATACTCACCGGAGGGGCGGCCCACCGCGTCTTCGCAGCCGGCTGGCGCCCGGCACTCGGGAAGCTCGCAAAAAGGAACCGCGTGCCCGCTAGCGCTGGGACGAGGAGGAGCGCGCCGCGGAGGCCAGAGAAAAAGCCGCAGCGGCGCGCGCGCACCCGGACAGCCGGCGGAGGCGGGGCTCAGCGCGATCCCGGAAAAGACGCGCCCGGAGGGGCGGGCGGAGCGGGGGCGCGCGGTGGTGTGGCAGAGCCAGCCGAATCGCTGGCTGCAGACGGCTCGGCCCACCCACGCGCCCGCCCCCGCTCGCCCGGAACGTCAGCCGAAAAGGCGGAGCCGAACGGGCTTCCCGGGGAGAAGGAGGGGCGCTGCGGGGAAGGCGAGGCGGCTAACGGCTCGCCTCAAGTTGTTGCTCCCGCTGGCGAGCCGCTTCTGTCAGGCTCGCTGCTGGTGTCGTTGAGTGTGTTTCCGAATGTCCTTGCGCCTAATAGCAGTGAGGCGCAGGACTGGCCCACGCCCTCACCTGCGGCTTGCTTCGCAGGACTCCACCCCAGGATAAAAGTTCCCCTCGGGTCATCTTCCAGCTGCCCTCAAAAGACACTCGTTTTTGTATTTCACTGCTCCAAGTTTAGAGAGCTATCTTAAACACTCTGACTAAAAACATCTTGCTCCTGTAAGCCTGAGCTGATGCCTCTCATCCATTTATCTTGCCTCTCACTGCGTTAAGATCCCCGCTGACTCCCACTGATGAAATATCACAAGGACGCAGGATTTTCACGTTGTCTTCCATTTCCACGATGGTTTCATGGCAAAAGAACCCCCAACTGATAAGGAAAAGTCACCGCAGCTCTGTGACATCTTACTAGCCCTGATCATTGCTTATAAGCTGGTCATACGAATGCTGTTACAATAGATGCAAGAAATTGCCATTAAAATTAAAATTCCAGCGAACTATCTGAGGGCTTCAAAAGGGAAAGACCATAATTGCAAATGAGCCCTGATAAACTGCCAAGAAAGAATATATCACCCAAAAAATTAAATCTCAAGAATTCTTCCAGTTCCCTGATGTGTAATGGTGAACTAGCTTCCTGTTCCTGATGGCAATCGACATTTCACTTCACCTGATTTCCATTTTCCCATAGAATTACCATTTCTGCTTGTGTGTGTATATATGTGTATATATGTGTGTGTGTGTATATATATGTATATATAAAATGCCTTACCACCTGAGATTACAGGCTAGAGTAGTTCTTAAACTTCAGTGTGCATCACAATTATCTGGGGTGCTTGTTAAAATGTAGGTACCTGGAGCTACAACCCCCCGGTATTTTTATTCTGATCTGGGTAGGGATAAGAAATTTGAATTTTTAATAAGCAGTCCAGATGACACTAAAAGTGGTTAGCTGAGAGCACAGAGCTACAGTTTTTGTGTGTTACTACTCTAAAGCCATATTACCATTTCAATTTCCAAGAAACCTACCTACTTACATAAAATATACCTATAAATATTGCTAAGACAGTCATGTAGCTTCCTTTTTGAGGATTGACCTACCAAGTTCAGTACTTCAAACAACTAGTTTAATTGCATTGTTTATTTTATGAAATCTTGTTTCAATACCAGAAATCAGCAATCATTTTTCAGGTAACTATGATGTACAGAGCACTATCACCTACAGTTGGCTTAACACAAATGAAATTGAAGAAATGAATATCGCTGCTCTCAACAAAGTTAGTGTCTACTTGTGGAATTAAGATATAGACATAATACAAACCCAGTGTAGCACATAAATCAATGTTGGATGAAGATGAAAAAGAACTTGTAATTAAAGAGTACTTTTGCCAGTTTCCTTTATTGTCAGTCTCTTAGCCCAGACATTTTCAATTAGGTAATTTCCTCTGAACAGTCTTCAGCTTACTGAAGTTCCTCCAGCTCTACAAGACATAAAGGAAAGAAATCACTATAGCCTGAAACTATCCGTTTTTCGGTATACGAATGTGTGTATGATATACATATAAGTATGTTTATCAGACCAAGAAGCTACTTGGATTTTCAAGATTTCTTATTACTTAAACTATTCGTTAGTGTGTACAGTTCTGGTTGTCTTCATCACCTACCACATCTCACCTTCTTCCCCATTTAACTGCACCCAAGTTGAAGAGGAAAGAACTATATCTCCAAAAAGGAAACCAAGTATAACCACGCTATTTCCAGCTTTCCTTTTTCAGAGTCAAAACAAACCTTGCTTAATTTCTTGTCATCAGAAACCTTCCAGAAATTACTGCCCAGGAGCAAAATATTTCCCAAGCAGCTGTCTGACATTTTAAAGAGAACATTTGCAACGCTGTTTATTAGGAAGATAGGGTATTATTATCCCTATTTCACAGATGAAGAAATAGATGCAGGTTAAGTGTCTTGTCCAGTCACACAACTAACTAGTAACAGAGCCTGAATTTCCTACTACACTGCTTATGACTCCTAGACCAGGGTGCTTGCCGCTACATCAAGCTGCCTCTGTAATGGGTCCTACCCAGAACTACCAAACCAATTGGAAATGGAGTAGATAAACGTATGGAAATGGAAGAGTTAGGGAAATGTACAATGCAACTGACAGATTCAAAATACAATGTAGTAAGTACTAAAAGCATGAGAATTAGTCTGTTAGAAGCTAAACAGAATTTAAAGGACAGCTCTGTTAAGAGGCACTGATATTTAGGCCTTGCCTGTTTTATTATTCTGTAACAAGAAGCTGAAACAGATAGCCAGGCTGCTCTTGGCATTAGTTATTTATGGAAGGGCAAAAAACAACTGTTCTTCATTGACTGTGTAACAAGCCTTTGCGTGTTAAACTTCACGGGTTTGTAGAATAATAATAATTTTCTCTTGCGGTCCAAATACAAGCAGCAGGACTTCATAATAATATTTGCATTGACAAGTTGTGTTAGATTTTGTCATTAACAAACCTTATTTTTGGCAGACCCAACAACCAGGCCAAATATTGTCTTTAGTGGCTTGTATTAAACAACCAGTGAAATCAGAAACCTAGGCAGAAGATGATCTCACTGTGAACATAAATAATAACCTAAGCCACTCCTTTAAAAAATGATCAAAGGCATAGTAGCTACATCTAAATGTTATTTTTGAGAAACGATTTGTTTTTTCAAAATAACTATTTCTTTTCATTCTGGCACATTTTTCAGGTTTTTAAATTAATGGAAACACCAAAACAAACAGACATCTAACGCACCCAGATAGGAAGACACAGTATTGTATGGAGTCAAGTCTTTGGAAATTAATCCATCAGGACATTGTGGTCCACGTCAAAATCACAGCAGGATTTTAATGGAACTTAATTTCAGTTTCTCTCATGAAACTCCTTATTTGTCCTTTTTAAAGATAACTCCAACCCCCCCTAAATAAAATCCTCCACAGTTATCCTTGAAATTGTTTGTGCAACCTTCCTATAAAGGATCAAAAATAACAAAATATTTTTATTATCCATAAGGCCATAAGTATGCGAAAAATCTGCTGTGGTTGTCGTTGAATCTGTAAGAACGTTGCTTTTCGTATATTTTTGCCCACTCTCTGTAGTGATTCTAGCCCAGTAATATTATGAAAAAAGATAGGTCATCGATATCATAACTTGCCTTAAATGTCTCTTTGTTATCCTTTCCCTTTAACATACAAAAAGCTTCCAATATGTCCTATTTTAAAAAGACCAGTAAAATAACAAAATTTTAATGTGTCCCTTACTCAAAATCTTCCACTGTTAGTGCTGGGAAGCTACTTAGATGCAGAGTAGCAGGATGGAAACCATATGGGTTTGGACTTAAGCCAACCACTCTAGACCAAGTTATATAACATTTTCCTGAGCCTCAGCCTCTTCTGTAAATTGGGGATAATAATGGTACCTCATTCATAAGACTCTTCTGAGGGAATGAAATCATGCCTATAAAATTCCTGATTTATGGCAAGGGTGTATAAAATGATGGCTATTAATCACCAAGTTCAACCTCTTCATTTCACAGATGAGAAAAAGGAAGCGAGAACCAGAAAAATCTTTCTCCAGATTCTCCCACTTATTCAGTGACTTTCTTTACAGCTAAGGACAAATTCCTTGAGAAGTGGTCTACAGCCACTTCATTCACTAAATCACTATCTGACCTCCAAGTTAATCACCATTCCCATCAATCCTACAAATATATATATATATATATATTTTTTTTTTTTTGAGAGGGAGTCTCCCTCTGTTCCCCAGGCTGGAGTGCAGTGGCACGATCTCAGCTCACTGCAAGCTCCGCCTCCCGGGATCATGCCATTCTCCTGCCTCAGCCTCCTGAGTAGCTGGGACTACAGGCGCCCGCCACCGTGCCCGGCTAATTTTTTTGGTATTTTTAGTGGAGACGAGGTTTCACCGTGGTCTCGATCTCCTGATCTTGTGATCCTCCCGCCTCGGCCTCCCAAAGTGCTGGGATTACAGGCGTGAGCCACCGCACCCAGCCAATCCTACAAATATTCCTATTGCTAATGCCTTCTATGAAATAGACAAACCCCATAATTATACTTAAATAATTATGGGACTATTTCACTCAGACCGAGTGAATAGTCCCACTGGGACTATTGGACTGATTAAACCTTTGGATATTTATTCAAAGCATCCCTCTTCAAACCAAAATTCTGTAATAAAACTGTCTGCTTCACTTGGATCCTACATGGCACGTGGTACAAGCCAAGTTACTGTTATTCAAATAAAACATTTTTTAACAATATGTTTGAATGAGTAATTATTACTTTTAGAAATAGATATAAAAGGTTATTAAATATATTTTATTTTCCCCTTCAAGTTGGTAAGATTTTTAGATTGATAATATTCAATTTTGGCAAGAATATGAAGAAACTTGCACTCATATATTCTTTTTTTTTTTTTTTTCCAAGATGGAGTCTCACCCTGTCACCCAGGCTGAAGTGCAGTGGCGCCATCTCGGCTCACTGCAAGCTCCGCCTCCCAGGTTCACGCCATTCTCCTGCCTCAGCCTGCCGAGTAGCTGGGACTACAGGTGCCCACCACCACGCCCGGCTAATTTTTTGCATTTTTAGTAGAGACAGGGTTTCACAATGTCAGCCAGGATGGTCTCAATCTCCCAACCTCGTGATCCGCCTGCCTGGGCCTCCCAAAGTGCTGGGATTACAGGCGTGAGCCACCGCGCCCGGCCTGCACTCATATATTCTAAGTAGGAGTGTAAATAGTTTTGGTCCCTTTATTTTATTTTATTTATTTTTGAGACAGAGTCTTGCACTCTCGCCCAGGCTGGAGTGCAGTGGCACGACCTCAGCTCACTGCAACCTCTGCCTCCCGGGTTCAAGAGATTCTCATGCCTCAGCCTCCTAAGTAGCTGGGATTACAATAGGTGCCCGCCACCACACCCAGCTAACTTTTGTATTTTTAGTAGAGATGGAGTTTCACCACGTTGGCCAGGCTGCTGTCGAACTCGGAACTCAGGTGATCCACCTGCCTCGGCCTCCCAAAGTGCTGAGATGACCGGCGTGAACCACTGCACCCAGCCTGGCCTTTTTAAAAGACAATGTGGCAGTATCTTTTAAAATTTAAAATGCATATACTCTTTGACATTTTCATGTACAGGACTATTATACAGAGAAACTTGAACAAATACACAAAGATATATG